TTGCTGTAATATATACACTGGCATAAAATAGTGAGATTGTTATGTAAATATGCAGCATAATACCTCTGGTGATTTGGACTTTACAAAATCTAACAATTAATTTTCCAGAAACTCCCCAATTCTATCTATTAAATCAAATGAGTTTTTGTTTTTTTAAGAATTTTGCATTTCATTTAAGGATTATATGTTTTGTTTTGTTGTTGGTCCTATGACTTGAACTCAGAGCTTGGGCACTGTCTGTGAGCATTTGTAATGCTCTATTTGCATTTCCTTTAAGAATTTCTTCAGGTTACTAGTGAAAATTTCCCAAACAGGGATTCTTATGAACAAGGCACATCACCTCCATTTCCCTTCAAAGAGATAGTGGTTAGGGGGGTCAGGATGAATGCAGGAGAGATAGAAGAGTGAAGTTTATGCTAGGCTATGTTGATGTGAAGCTTAATCAGTTGCAAACCAGTCTGCTTTTGTCTGTCCATTTTGCATGTGAAAATCTCTTTAGACTTCTTACCTCTTCTCTGATCCTAACAGTTCCTCTCAGTAGCTTTAGGCTACATATCTAGGGGACCTCAGACTTGTCTTCTCAGACCTTAACCATTAAAGTATGCAGTAAATCTTTGTCTCCTGCCACAATCTCATCAGAGCACAAGCAAGGCTCTGAGAGCCAGTGGGATGATAATTAAGGAGACAGAGAGATGGCTGATGGCACAATTCTGCTATAATTCTCAAATGCTTGTGTAATATTGGCCTAGACCCAATGTGCCCAAAAGTGCAAACACCACACACCTTTCCTCATTTTATTTCAATACATCTTTTCCACCCAAGCCTCCTGTCAGTTAAAGCCCCAGGCCAAAAGGCTAGAACACACACTTCCTCAAACCAAGAAAGGGCAAGGACTTGCAGTCCTGAGGGTGGGAGTCAATGGCCCTGAAGCCTTTGCTCACATTTTGTCTACTCCTGGCAGGCACCCCAGGGTCTACAACAGTCTCCCTCTCTCTTATCAGAGAACCTACACTTGTCTCTTAGATGTTTATTGTGATTTTTTTGTAATCCCTTCCATAAAAAATAATTGGGAAAGACTGGATTGGAAACTTTCACTTTTGATTTTAGTTCTCCAGTGTATGGGTTCAACATGTCTCTATTTTGGACCAGAACTATTCCTCATGAAAATGGTAATCAAAGAGCATATTTGAATGTATAGACTTCAACTTGAAAGCACCTCTAACAATATAAAGAAAAAATAATTTCATTCTTTAAAACTAAATTCGTGTGAAGTGGCACTGTGGCTCAAGTGGTAGATCACTCTCCTTGAGCTGAAGAGCTGAGGGACAAGTGCTCAGGCCCAGAGTTCAAGCCCCATGACCAAAAAAAAAAAAAATCCTCCCTAAAACTAAATTCCTGAGACACAAAGAGATAAGGATCAGGAAAAATCTGGGGTGCTCCCAAGAATACCTGTGAAATGCAGTTTTCTTTTTCTTTTTTTGGGGGGGGGCAAGGGTCCAGTCATAGGGCCTGAACTCTGGACCTGGGCGCTGTCCCTCAGCTCTTCAGCTCAAGGCTGGCGCTCCACCACTTGAGCCACAGTGCCACTTCCGGCTTTTTTTATTGATCATGTGGTGCCGAGGAATCAAAACCCGGGCCTCATTTATGCAAGGCAAGCACTCAACCACTGAACCACCATCCCATCCCTGAAATATAGTTTTCATTGTTCAAGCCTACATTTGTGATGAATTTCTTTATTCTTTTATCCTTGTTTTGCTGGGTTTGGTTTTTGGTCATGCCACTTGAACTGTGAGCCTAGGAACCATCTCTCAGCCCTTCATCTGAAGTCAAGTGCTCTACATGTAGAGCTAAAGCACCAATTCTGGTTGTCTGGTTTTTATTGGAGATAAGTGTATCACAGACAATGCTGCCCAGGCTGACTTTGGACTGTGATCCTCAGGTTTCAACCTTTGGAATAGCTAGGATTAAAGACATGAGGTACCAGCACCCAGCTTGCATTTCTTTTATGTCCCAGCCTTGGGGCTTGAACTCAGTGCATGGACACTATCGCAAATTTTTTGCTCCACATTAGCACCTTAGTACTGGAGTAACAATTCCCACTCGGCTTTTTCTATGTATGTGGTACTGAGGACTTGAACCAGGGCTTCATGCATGTTAGGTAAGCACTCTACCACTGTTGCGGGACAGCCACAACACAAACAGGGCTCTGGAAGGGCAATGGGATGATAATGGAAGAGACAGAGACAAGGCCAATGATGAATCTCTCTTTATTTCAGCAATAACCTTAGCTATAGACACTTTCTAGATCTGTCCAGTGCTTGCATCACATTGTTCTAGGACTCACTGTGCCAACAAGTGCAGACCATATGCATCTTTCCTCATTCTAGTTCAACCTTTGTCCAACAAACTCCTAGAGGTAAGCCCCCAGGCCCAGACTCTAAAAGGAACACACCCTCCAACAAAAAGTGAAGTACATATAGCACTGAACGTTGGCGTCCATGGCTGTGGAGCTTTTGCTCACCCCTTGCCAACTCCTGGCTCCTCAGGGTCTGCACCATTTCCCCCTTTTTCATTTTGTAAATTGAGCAAGTGTCTATCAGCCTGAACCTGGAAAAAGCAGCAGAATGGAAGAAAAAAGATATACCAAAACACAAATAGGAAAATGCTTAAGAAATAGCAAAAAGAGTGCTATTTCCCCAGGTGAATACCTGCAGGTAATGGAGAACTGATACAGCTAAGCCTGTGGCGGAGTGACCAATATCAGATATCTGACCCTGAAGCTGCGTAATGTCTAAGTTAAAATTATCAGAGGGCCAGATTCCTCAAATATGTCACTGGATATTGGTCCAATTCATATTTCCATCATATTCAAGAGGGATAACACAGATGTACTGACAATTAGCATGACACATCATTTTAACTGGATCTTTAGCAGGTCTATGTGATTATCAACATACATCATTGCTGTTTCCAAATCATAAAACATATTGTAAGGTCTGCCCCTGGATGGCAAGCAGACTCCACCCTCCTCGCAGCAAAGTCTCCACCCAGTACCTGCGTTACCTAGGCAACTGAGACACCTGGAAGAGGTCACATCTGCATCCGCTGAGGTCACATCTGAATTTGATGTGGCCACACCTTTCCCCGCCCATACTGTACATAAGGCCTAGCCCAGGCCCAGACGCTCTCTTGCTCTTCTTTTCTAGCTCTCTCTCTGCTCTAGCTCTTTCCTCTCTCTTTCCCAGCCACATGGAGTGCCAACCTTGCCTGGTCCCAGCAGGTCTACTGAATAAACCTAACCCTTACCTGAATACCACGTGCATGCTGGTGCTGTTCTTACTCGGCTACCTCTTTTTAAAAGCCTTTTAATAATCATGAAATAGGGCAAGGATTCTCTCTGGCTACTTCCTGATGAAAAGGGGCGTCGACAATAGGGGTAAAAGGCTGGAATTTGGTCTCCTCCCAGAGAAGACAGTGAGCAGCAGCTGTCCCTTGGTGGCGTGAGTCCTTAGATGAAATCTGGAGAAGTCTCATGAGCATTGAGGGGCTGGAAAAAAAATACTAGACAGCAAATAAAGGGCAAGAGGAAGGTCTTGGGGCTCAAAATGTTGGTAGAAATGTCCCTAGCTACTTCTGACATCGGGCCACTAGGTGGAGAAGTCAGGTGACAAAGGCAAGAATATAAATTCCTGTCCAGTTAATAGGTAGACTGGTATGGACACTAGATGGGCAGGCTTCTTACTTCTACTGATCTCCCAGCTCAGGTTAATTTTGAAAGGGCAGGCACAAAGTAGCTGATGTGACATTATCTCCTCTTACTCTTCTCCATGTTCCCTTGTTCCCCAGACTGGCTGAGTCTCGGTGCTCATTGCTGGGATGGCTTGTCCCAGTTGGTATTCAAGATTTGAACTCAAGGCCTGGGCACTGTCCCAGAGCACTTCTGCTCAAGGCTAGCACTGAACCACTTTGAGTTATAGTACCACTAGTATTCAAGGAGGTTTGAACTCAAGGCCTGGGCACTGTCCCTGAGCACTTCTGCTCAAGGCTAGCACTGAACCACTTTGAGTTATAGTACCACTTGCAGAGTTTAGCTGGGAGATGGAGTCTTAGGGATTTTTCAGCCCGGGCGGGCTTTGAACTGCAATCTTTGCCACAAAAGCCCTTTATTATTTCCAATTAAAGCAACAAGGAGATCAAGTAGAGTAAGTAGAGCTTACCTGGTTCTTATCAAGAATTGCCAACAAGTATTCTGAAATGACAAAACTCATTAGATGTGATGAGAATTTTAGCACAGATACGCCCAGAATTTTAGAACCACGTAGTCAGTAGTAGAATACTCAACACAAAACAAAAAACGCAAAACTTAAAACCTAAAATTTCGACAATGTTTAGACATCTTTGGTAACAAAGCATATCAGATGGTTGGGTCTCCGTTACCAGGGCCTGTGAAAAGAGCAACTTGTTAGCAAGGCACCTTAGAATAGATGAAGTAGTAAACTTAGTGGAAGGTTAAGGGTCAGATGGGGCCAAACCCTTAATCCACCACGTGGCCAAGATGGCGAATTCAAGATGGCGAATTTCTGAAAGAATGAAAAGAAAGCCTGAACAAATAGACTGAAAGACCCCCAGTGATCTGGGCGCCTTTCAATCTGAAGAGACCCTCTCCCAAGGAACAGCAAGACCACTTGTGCGGATGCAATCAGCAAGAGGTTTATTCAGGCATGCCCAGGCTCCCAGATACACACGACCTCAAGATCCACAAGGTTTGGGTCGGTGGCTGGGAACCTGCTTTTACATGGGTACCCGGGGCGACAAAGTCTATCGGGAGACTTGCGCGCCGGGGCACATGAGAGCACCCTCTTTTATGGGCAGCTGGAAGCAGGGTTACAGAAGCGAGATGCATGGTTACAGGGTGTTGATTGGCTAATTTTAAGTCATGTGTAGGGTAGGGATTGGTGGGCTTGAGTCAGGCGAGCGGGTTAGGCAAGGTCTGCTTAAGGTTAGTGGTGGGACTTTCCACAGGCAGTTGGGTTGGCTGACATGTCCGTACATGTCCGTACTTGCCCTTCAATTGTTAACTCAGAGACTCTTTGTTCCTCATTCCCGGTTAACTGTTTAACCACAACATTTTGCCTCGCCCTCTCTGGTGTTTTTCCATCCACATAGTTTCGCGGAAGGGGGTTGGTCAGCAAGTTTCCTAGGGGGACCTAGTGGCAAAGCATATGCTAGGGTCTTTCAAGACCAAGTCTACATTGGCTAGCCTTGGAGAGGAAACCTAGAGGGGGGTCCCTGAGACCCAGCCTGTGTCGCACTCTTCAAGGCACAAGCCAAAAAGTTGTAGAAAAAAGGGCAGAAAGTTGGACATGAATAGCAGAGAGAGAACAAAGACAGCTTGAAATTAAACTTCTGACCATTTACCATTGCAGTAGCAAAAACTGTGTACTTCTGAGAACGGCATAAAATTAGGCTCTCTGGCTTTCCAGGGAGCGCAGGAGGCATTTCAAAGGGGTTTCACGGCTCAGGCGTGATTCGTAGCACCCCATTAAATGAGTAGAGTCAGTCTGGTGAGTGAAGGAGAGCTGACCAGGCAGAAGCGGCGTCCCGACTTCCCCCAGAGCCCTCTAGAGAGAGCAACAGAGAACCGTAGAGAGTAGCTTCACTCACCAGAGTAGAGAAGTGGTGTGGACGTGGATGTGAAGGCAGCAATGGTATAGATGCGCTGATTCCGCCGCAGACAGACTGGTTCGCAAAAGGCCGTCAGAACTGTGGGTATTCCTCAGAGCAAAAAGGGAAGAACAAAAAAAGGAAAAAGAGGAAAAAAACAGAGAAATCCCAGCTATCCTGACTTTCAGCCTTTATCCGAGTCACGGCACCATTTATGTTAGGTTTTTAAAAAGAGGTAGCTGAGTAAGAACTGCAGACTCATGTGGTATTCAGGTAAGGGGTAGGTTTATTCAGTAGACCTGCTGGGACCAGGCAAGGTTGGCACTCCACGTGGCTGGGAAAGGCCTGGGAATGAGAGAGAGCTGGGAAAGAGAGGAAAGAGCTAGAAAAGAGCAGAGAGAGGGGTAAGAACAGTAGCACTCACGTGGTATTCAGGTAAGGGGTAGGTTTATTCAGTGGACCTGCTGGGACCAGGCAAGGTTGGCACTCCACGTGGCTGGGAAAGAGAGAGGAAAGAGCTAGAGCAGAGAGAGAGCAGAGAGAGCTAGAAAAGAAGAGCAAGAGCAAGAGAGCTAGAAAAGAAGAGCAAGAGAGCGTCTGGGCCTGGGCTAGGCCTTATGTACGGTATGGGCGGGGAAAGGTGTGGCCACATCAAATTCAGATGTGACCACAGCGGATGCAGATGTGACCTCTTCCAGGTGTCTCAGTTGCCTAGGTAATGCAGGTACTGGGTGGAGACTTTGTTGCGAGGAGGGTGGAGTATGCTTGCCATCCAGGGGCAGACCTTACACATATCACAATCATTTTATCCATTCCTATATGCATCCCAAGGTACCAGAAACGTTTCAAACTAAAGTATTAACATGTTGTGCTGTATATATTGTTTCTACAAGGATGATAGGAGAAGAAGGAGTGCTAGCAAGATGAGTCAGGGTAGCAATAATTCCCAATATTCCCCAAAATCGGCAGCAATGGCTAAGAGTCCTCTGAACCTCAATAGCAAACAGAGACCCAAACTTATTACACCATGGTTCTATCAACTGAACATGCAATGTAAGTTAAGGGGATTGCATAGTAAGCTAGGATCACTCATGCAGTTAGTGAGAACATAATTGTTCCTGCAAAAGGCATGAAACACCACCCCACCCTTGAAAAACATACCCAGCCCAACAACTAGCATGTATGGATACATAACACAAGCTTGCACAGTAAATGATACAAAACCATGAAACAGGACAGGTCTCTGAAACAGATTTATGGGATGGTGAGAGGCATTAGTTCAAATAGGCCTCATGGCAGCAGCCAGGCTCAAGAGGTCAGGGTGAGCTTGTCCACACAAACTGACAAATATCGGAGCCAGCAAGCTACCACTGATCTCGTCACTCCTCTGAGACCTGCCATACATCCTGGGAGACTCCTACCACCAGAACAGTGGACAAGATGTGAAATCCACAGGCCCTCCAGGACGATGGATCATCACAACCATGGGAATCGCTGAGTGTTGGGTCTTCGTCCGTCCCACGAAAGACGGACAGGGTCCGAGGAAAGGTAAGTGCGGCGCTCGCCCGTTCCCTAGCCTCCCTCAGCCCAGGAGACAATCAGACACAGCGGGGAGCCAAATCCAGCAGGTAGAAAAACTCGTTTATTAACAGAGAGCAGCCCCTTTTAAGGACAACAAGGGTGGGTGGTATGGTAAGGGAGGAAGAGGAACCAATCACTGTCAAGGTCACACCCTATCATTCACCTGAGCCTTCACGGGCTGGTTAGGCACTGATCAGAAGATCAATTGGGGTCTGCCCACTCAACCCCCTCCCAGCGCCATCTTTGCTGCCCATGTGCTCCACAGATTCCCCCTTTTATTTTTGTTTTAATGGCAGACCCACCTAGCACAGTAATAAACATCAGTCCCACCACAGTTAGAAATGTCCGAAGCAAGCAGTTCAAGTAATTCCTGGGCACCTGGTGTCTTTTAAGTAAGCCAGTTCCTTGTACGTGCCTTTAAGCTAGCACAGGAGTCAAGATGACCTTTGAGCTTTACTGTCAGCTCCCAATTGCTCCCAACATCATCTCCCCCCGTCTTTGCTTAAAGAAGCGAACCCGCCTGTCTTAGGTTGGGTGGATCGCCTTGTCTGCCTTACCCGTCATCGGGAACTTCTTCAGAGCGAAGCTGAAGGCCCTGTCTTAGGTTGGTCAGACTGACACCCCCTCTTACCCGTCTCTGGCTGCGATTCCTCTGGGGGGGGGGGGGGAATTCATTCATTTGGAGCTTGATAACTGGCTGGCTAGGCTCATAAGAGTTTTGCAGTGCACGTATAATGCAAGGAAGGCATAGAAAAACCATCAGCAAAAGCATTCCCAGGCCAGGAAATGTCACTACTAGTCCTTTAACCTTAGTGAAGGATGGGATAGCAGTCTTTGCCACTTCAGAGTCCAGAGGTGGGGTTGGACAAAATCTAAGCTGGAAGCATAACAAAAGGTGGTTGTTTAACAATTAAGTATGGATTCAATGCTGCTATACAAGCAATTAGTAAAAGAACAATTAAAGCAGGTAACATTAAAATAATTAACTCCTACAAAAATATTAAACAGTCCATAGGGTGGTGATCAAAATGAAGGTCAGGCCACCAGCTCGAAGGGACAGCTTCTCTTGTGGTGCTCCTGACGATTTCTGCATTGCCAGCATTGATCACTGCCCAGGTCACCCGTTGAGGTTGATGCAGGTTCCGTAGGGCCGTTCACAGGATTCGGAGAGTCAGGACAGCCAACAGCTGGAGTGTCACCATCTGCAATTGTTAGAGAACACAAGAGCTTCTCAAGGGCTAGTTGCCCTTGGGGATGGTTAATAATTGTCTTTCTGGCTTTTGTCTTTAAAACACAAGCCTCGGTCAGGGCCCTTTTTTTTTTTTTTTTTTTCTTGTTGGTTAGCTTATTCTTGGGCATCCTCCTGTATAGAGGAAATGGGTAAAAACTTAAGGTTCCTGGCAGGGATCCAAATGGGAGCGGACTCCCCTATGGGGAAAATGCATCCAAATCCCCTGCCCATGGTAACTAGGGGGTCAGGTCCTCTCCATTGTTGTGTCAGGGGTGCTTCCACCTGACTTTCACTTGGAGCTTAGGGTTTAGTTGTCCCCAGTGCTTCTGAAATCTGGATTCAGTTGCCCCTTTTGAAAAATTTAAAAACAAAGCTATCTGTAACTGTATATGGGGGCTAACTCCCCCTTTTTTGTTTTATAGGCTACCAGAATACAAATTAAAGGGGTTTTTAATGTCCTGAAGGGCCATAATGGCCAGCATTTCCTTATATTGTAATTGTAGGGACAGAAACCCATGGCAACAGCCAATTGATTTCCCCTAAAAGACTCTGAAGTTGGGTTAAGGTTAGAGAGGCTGGAATATCCAGCAAAGGCTTAAGGGGGCTGGCCTGAGTCAAGGTAAGGTGGGTCCAGAGCACCTTAAAAGGAGCTACCTTTTGAATTTTATTAAGGGCTATGGTAAAACCCCCCTTTTTTAGTATGTTGAGAACCTGGGCCAGGAGGCCCTCCAGGCAGCTTGGGTCTCGGTGCCCCAGAATTATATCATCCATGTAGGCATAGGCAAGGGAGGTATCTGAACCCAGCACAGGCCCTAAAAGTGTGGCCAAGTATTGTTGGGAGAAGGCAGGGCTATTGGCCATACCCTGTGGCAGTACCGTCCATTCAAACCTCCGATCAGGCTGGGAGAAATTAAGAGAAGGTATAGAGAAAGCAAACTTCTCGCAGTCATCTGGATGCAGAGGGATAGAAAAAAAAAACAATCTTTAATATCAATCACAACCAAAGTATATTCTGAAGGTATAGCAGGAGTCCAGGGCATGCCTCTTAGGGGCGTTCCTACTAGCTTTCATTTACCTTCCGTAGATCTTGGAGCATCTGCCAAGTCCCAGAGGCTTTTTGAATAACAAATACGGGTGTGTTCCAAGGACTTATACAAGGGCGGATATGCCCGAGGCTTATCTGTTCCTCCACCAGAAGGTGGAGGGCTTCAAGTTTAGGTTTGGTCAATGGCCACTGCTCCACCCAGATTGGGCTTAGGGCGGAGTCCGTCCACCAGGGGGACGGTCCAATGGGCCTGGGTCACCCTGCCACGAGGCTGCCTGGGCCTCACAGCAGGGGGGGTTCCTCCTTGCGTTAAAGGGGCTAGAGGATGCCCCTCCCCAAGTTTAAAGACTTCCCATCTAAATCAAATTTGTATCCCTCCCTGCCCCTGGGGTAGGGTATAGGGGGCGGTTTGCCCACGGGCCAGTTGGCAGGGGATTGTTGTAAACAATCCCTCTTAAAGTGCCCTTCCTGCCCCCATTTAAAACAAGTCCCTCTCCCCGATGGCCTTGGGGTTCCTTGGCCCTGGGCTGCCAGCGCCTGAGTAATGGCCTCAGTCATTGTAGATGTCTGAGCCTGTAAAGCTAAAGCTAGTGATTGGGACTGATGCTGTTGCGTTCCCACATCCTGTGAGGCCACCACCCATCTGCTCAGGGAATTCTCTCTCAATCCTGCGCAGGCCATGCGGTGGTCTGCATTCCCTTCCCAGACCAGCAGCTTTACAAACTGATCTCGGAGGTTCCCTGTCGGCAGCTTGAGGTGAACACTCTGTTGGACTCGGTCTATGAAATCAGGTCGAGGCTCACCCAGTTTTTGTCTCACTTCTGCCATGGGGGACTCAGTAGGCCCATCATCTAGTTTGTACCAAGCGGCAAGTCCTGCCTGCCTCACCTGGTCACGGTACGGGCCAGGTATTGCGGCCTGTTGGATGCCGGTGGAGTACCCTTCCCCCTTCCCTGCTAGCATGGCATAAGTAATAGGTTTTGCTGGTTGAGCCTGCCGGTTACTCTCCGCTTGCACTCTGCATTCCTCCTTAAAGAAAGCACACCATTTAATAAACTGAGAACTAGTGGTCTGGGCCCAGGGAGAGTTTGGGCCATCCTCCGCCACCGCCTTGCGGAGCTCTTTAAGATCCTTAGCTTCCCATGGATACCATCCCAAGGGCCTGTTAGCCCCTGATGCCACATTGACCGGATACGCTTGGGGAAGCGAATCCTGTGGCCGAGAGTCTGGGCTCTTGGGTGGCCCTTCCTTTCCAGAGCTCTTGGGTGGCCCTTCCTTTCCAGAGGAGGTCTCCGAGTAGGTTACTTCCTCAGCCCTTGGTCCCTCCATGTGGTAGGGGTCTGGGCTTTGCAAGTCCCTCTCGCAGGTCTCGTAGGGCGCCGTACCTCCCGTCCAATCAGGGGAATAGGGAGGGGGCCTAGGACCGTCCGGGGCACCTGAGTAGCTGCCTCCGCCCCTGCATGCACAGATAGTGCGTTCCCGGTTGAATTTGACCTTTTCCTTTTCCTTTTTACTTCCCAAGTCCTCCTGTACTCCTTCTAGGCCTAATGTTGCCTCCTCCTCCTTCTTCTGTGATATAGCATTACCCATATTTAGGGTTTCACTTACCCCGAGAGACCGCTTAGCCTCGGCCGGTATCTTTTCCTTTCGTGCCCCACGTTGGGCGCCAGATGTTGGGTCTTCGTCCGTCCCACGAAAGACGGACAGGGTCCGAGGAAAGGTAAGTGCGGCGCTCGCCCGTTCCCTAGCCTCCCTCAGCCCAGGAGACAATCAGACACAGCGGGGAGCCAAATCCAGCAGGTAGAAAAACTCGTTTATTAACAGAGAGCAGCCCCTTTTAAGGACAACAAGGGTGGGTGGTATGGTAAGGGAGGAAGAGGAACCAATCACTGTCAAGGTCACACCCTATCATTCACCTGAGCCTTCACGGGCTGGTTAGGCACTGATCAGAAGATCAATTGGGGTCTGCCCACTCAACCCCCTCCCAGCGCCATCTTTGCTGCCCATGTGCTCCACAGCTGAGCATAGTAGAACCCAAGAAGGATGCACCACATCTCCTGCCAAAGAAATTTTGCAAGTGTTATGCATAAGCTCCATCTTTTTCCATTGTTTCACCTTTTCTTTCAAAGGAAGTCAGAACCATAATCTATCTCTGAATACCTTACCACACTTGTACCTTCTACCTCAGGATCTGCAATAGTCAATAACTGTGATCCATGAAGTAAGAGGATATAATATTTGTATAATAATGAGACTTACATCTGTGAGCAATGAACAATTCAAAAATGTAAGAAGTAAATTATATTTATACTAGTACAATAAACATAATACATAGAAGTAAATGTTTGAAAAATGTAACCAAGAACAATGACACTATGGGACACAGCTAGTCTAGGAAGCACCCATTTTTACCTGATCCTTATGTCCTTGCCTCTCAGGAACTTACTTTTAACTTTTACAGAAAGAAAGAATTCTACCTTTGAAAAGAGAACTGCACTTTAGACCCACCTCAATAGCTTTTGCTGCCTGCTCCTTTGTTTCAAACTCCACAAACACAAATCCTTTTGGATCTCCAGTAGACTTATAATGTGGTATACTTATGTAAACAACGTTGCCACATTTCCCAAATACTCTTTCAATCCAGCTGTGATGAACATTTTTGGGAAGTAATTCCTGTAACAAATATTAATAAATTCAAAATATTTTGTCTTTAACAATGAATAAAGGCTTGTCTCTTAAGACTTTCCATTAAATGTACTTGCCACATAAAAAAAAAAGAAAGAAAGAATTCTTTTTCCTTCATATTTTATAGGTGCTCCAATGTTGCCATCTATACATCCAAATGTGCCTCAGGATCTCCATTTTCATGAGGAATAGCTCAGGTCCACTAAAAGAGGGATGGAAAACCCTTACACTGGAGGACTGAATATCAGGCATGAAACTTTCCTACACAATCCTTCCCAGTCATGATGTGGGGAAAGGATCATCAACAATCACAACAAACCCTTAAGAGACAAGCTTAGAATGTCTGATATGAGGGAGGGAGGCAAAAGATTTATTCCACAGTGTAATAGATACAGTCTGGGAAGACAAGTCTGAGGACCCCTAGATATGTGGCCTAGACTTGCTGACAGGAACTTCTAGGGTCAGAGAAGAGGTAGAAAATCAAAACAAAATAGGATATGCAAAACAGAAAAGTAAAAACAGACTGGTTTGGAGCAAGTAATGAAGCTTCACATGAACATAGACCTGCCCTGAACTCTACCTCCTCCCACATTCATCCTGATCTTCCTAGACAACCATTTTTTTTGAAGAGTCTTGGAGGAGGAGTACCATTTTCTAAGAAACCCCTGGGAGGAAACTTTTCACTAGTCCCCTGAAGCAATTATTAAAAGAAAGGCAAGTAGAGCACAGCAAATGCTCACAGACAGTGCCCAAGCTCTGAGTTCAAGCCACAGGACCAACAACAAAATGAGGGAAAAACTTTATAAGGAAAGGGAAATTTCAGACAGAAATAAGCAAAAACTCCTTAAAATTTCATAGATGGAATTTGGGAGTTTCTGGGAAAGTAATGAGTAGAATTTGACAAATCAATTTAATTCAAAGATTATAAAGTATATCTGTTTTTAAATTCTGTTGTTTTATTCCAGTATATATATTAGAGCAGGGGAAGATGATGCCAGAATCAAGCAGTTACTGTCTGCAAGTACTTTATTTTTTTGGTCGATCTTGTGGCTTGAACCCAGCCTGAGTGCTGTCCCTGCGTTTTTCAGTTCAAGTGAGCTCTCTACCACTTGAGCCACAAGCCACTTCCAATTTTTTGGTGGTTAGTTGGAGATAAGGCTTATGAACTTTCCTGCTCAGGCTGGCTTTGAACGGGGATCCTCATATCTCAGCTTCCTGAGTACCTAGCATTACAGGCATGAGCCATTGGCACCCAGCTGCAAATACCTTTGTAAAGTGAGAGGGGAGATATTCAAAACTTTAAGGAGAAACAGAGACATAATTTACATTCAGCAGAACGTACTTTTTGAACAAAAACAAAAATAAAATCTATGTAGATTCATAACCTCAATTATATTAAAAGAACTAAGAATTAAAAAGCCAAATTATACAATGCTTCTAATATATTTGTGTTTTTAATTGGTCTCACAATATTTATGTTGGCAAACTGAATTTTCAAGAAGAAACTCACCTAAATTCCCTCAGCTGGGAGAGAAAGGTTCCCATGCATCCTTGCACACTTAGGACCAAGTGTCTTGTGCAAGTCAAAATGCTGTAACAAGCCCACTTCCTCTAGGTGAATTGTGCATCGCATTCTGGGAATTGTAGTTTCTATCGGGGCATAGATCCTTTGAAAGTGTGTGGGGGGATGGGGGATTGGGGGTTGGGGGGGCAGAGGTGCCAATGCCTCCTTGTCCACTGTTTGTGTTTTTAGTTTACAAATTCGGGTTACTTTGCTTTTGTCTTGCTGCTGGAAGGGCTCTGAAGTACAGCTTTGCACTCTATAGTCAGAGCCAAGAGGTAGAACCCCAGATTCTCTTTTTCAGGGGAACTTGAGAGCTGAAACATGAAGGGATCTGAGGCTCCTAGCAAGAGTCCGCCCTTACCATCTTTCCCCAGTCTGGGGTGGATGATATTTTAGGGCTCATAGGTTTGTGCTGCCACTAGCACTTGTTCCTCCAGGTGCCAGAAAGTGGCTCACAAACCTCTGATTTTCAGACAAGGAGAGTCAGGAGTTGTGCGTTTATATTCCTGAACCTAGAGATTCTGGTACTCACCCAGGTGACTTTATTAACTTGCTTTTTGTGAATTGAAGCCAATGAATGCTAAACATTCCTTGAAAATGTCTTATATAAAAATACTGATCCTCTTTTCATCATCTGAATTTCCTATGGCTTTTGAAACTTTCAAAATGCTGCTTGCACAGATATACTCCAATTGATGTGTCTGTTCTGACAAATTACAATTTCTCTACTAATTTAATTAGCCTATTTTACATCACTTAAAATGAGATAGACTGGCTGGGCAGGTGGTTCAGTGGTAGAGTGCTTGCCTTGCGTGAATGAAGCCCTGGTTTGATTCCTCAGAACCAAATAAGCAGAAAAAGCCAGCACTGTACTGTGGCTCAAGTAGTAGAGTGCTAGCTTTGAGCTGAAGGTCAGAGGGACAGTGCCCAGGCTCAGAGTTCAGGCCCCACACCGACAAAAAAAAATGAGAGAGATTTCCTATACATGTATACCAAAAACAATTGTTAAAATATAATTTGAATACAATAAAATGCCCTTGATATGTGTCTGCCTGCCCTGATTCTTGAACTCAAGGTCTGGAAACTGACCTTGAAATTATTCCGTTCAATGATAATGTTCTACCACTTAAGCCACATTTGCACTTCCCACTACCTTGGTAGTGTATTGGAGATAAGTCTCTCAGACTTCCATATCCCTCTGGCTTCAATCTGTGATCCTTGTAGGGTTCCTTCATGTCCTTCCCAGGGGACCACAAGCAGGCACAGGAGAAAGATTAGTATAAGGTTTATTAGAAGGATCATATTTCCTAGGACAGGGAGCACAAGCATTTGTCCCTCTTCAGGTTGCAACAGGATCTGGGGGGCAGAAAGTGAGTTAAGTACATGCTCAGGTGAGTCTGAGATGAGAGAGGGAGTGGCCAGCTGTGTGGAGGGAACTCTAGGTCTGGGAGGAGCTCAGGCCTGGGTGGAGCTGAGGACTAAAGGTGAGGATAATACTAACTTTCCTCAGATCTCAGCCTTCTGAATACCTAAGATTACAGCTGTTAGACATGATAGCCCACTTACAATGCTCTTTTTAAAATTCAGATTATATTCTAATGCAATAATATGAAATAGAAAACTTGAAATTTTCAAGGCAGGATGTTCAGTTACTAAGGTGTATGAGGACAGTCCAAATCCCAAAACACACAGAAAATGCCCCCACCTTGAAATCTGTAACACTCCTGATCTTAAGTATTGTGAATGTGAACACTTAGTCTATAATAAATTCTTTTAAGTTTTTCAAAGTAAGAAAACATTCTTGTGACAATAAAACGCAGTAGTAATGTGCAAGTATTGCTTTTAAAGGATTCATAGTGTCTTTCTGAGCAAAAACAACCTCAATGATGTATACAGAATAGATTTTCACTTTTTGTATATGTCACTGTAAAGGTCATGTATTTTATATTAACAATTACCTTTCTAAATAATTGTAAAAACTACATCACTACTTGATAACAGAATATCCTGTGTAATCAACCAATAAGTACAAGCAAAAGCACATAGGGATATAATTTGTTGGTTTTAATTTTGATGGATCTACATTTTGGGGTGTTTTTTCTTTTAATATTGTGTAGTAACACATAAGACTTCAATCTACTGGTGGCTTGGCTGGGGATGGTTGACTGGGATTTTGTCACTCCTCTGACCAGCATTTTATCTTGCATCTTTATTAGGCCCTGTATCTCCAGCAGAATGGACATGATGCTTAATATGACTGCTTAGGAAAGTGAGGGACTTCTCAATCTGTGTTTATGTCATCATTCCTGATGTACCTTTGGCCAAAGCAGGTTCAAACTCAAATTGCAAGTCATTGTACAAGGTATGCTAATTATTTGCATAAAGGGTAATGTGCCATATGACAACCATTACTGAAACATTATAAAACAAAAATATGTGTTGTATATATTTTATCTCTGTAACTTTGTGTGAAAATACTGTTCAAAACATACATGTGTTTGAATATGTAAATAAATGAGGTAGAGTACAAATAATCAATGGATTCCTAAGATATCTTTACATTAATAGAAAAATAGTTTACATATCCCTAGGTGTATTTCAGTGATAATTACTTTTAGTGAACAAGTGACATGTTTTCCTTTTTTGGGTTCAATTTTTCAACAATCTTTTGTAGGAGATTTAGGTTTTTTTTCTGTTCTTTTTTTGGGGGAGGGTCTGGTCTTGGGGCCTGAACTCTGGGCCTGGGCCCTATACCTTAGCTCTTCAGCTCAAGGCTAGCGCTCTACTACTTGAGCCACAGCGCCACTTGCAGCTTTTTTCTTTTTTCTTATGTGGTGCTGAGGAATCGAACCCAGGGCCTCAGGCATGCAAGGCAAGTGCTCTACCACTGAGCCACCTTCCGAGCCCCCGTGCATATGTCTTTAGTGGACACTTTAATGCTCTTCTTAAGACAGGAATGATTCTTCTCCCATAGGAAGGCTCTTCCAGCCCACATATCATGTTTTGTACAGGAACATCTAGGGTAAAATCACACAGGTTCTTTTCTGACTCCCTTATTTGCCTTCGCTCCAAGCCATGGTTCCAGAATCTTTATTCATTGTCAACAGCAAGAAAGCATGAAAGGATCTCTAGTGAGATTCTTTTATTTTTCACTTTGTTTGACATTGCATTATGAACCTAAGGGTGTCCAAGATGGATGAAGAGAAAAAAAAAAGATTCAGCTTCAGGAACGTGTTTCTAAAAATGCTAAAGTTGTAGCCAGGTGCGGGTGGCTCACACCTGTAATCCAAGCTATTCAGGAGGTGAGAGCTGAGGATCAGTGTTCAGAGCCAACCCGAGCAGGAAAGTCTGTGAGATTCTTTTATCCAATAAACTACTAGAAAAAGGGAAGTGGTGCTGTGGCTCAAGCTGTAGAGCGCTCACC